GTAATTTCATGCTACCCCTCCATTACTAACTAGTTGGGTAAACTTTAACTAGCCACTTCACTTTTCTAGCTGCAGCTTCCTCATCTAAAATGAGTGGGTTTAAGCAAGCATTTCCATCATTTTCAATGCCAGGACTTTATAATATATCCCATTAAAATAGTAAAAGTTGAGTGTGACCTGTTATTAAAACTTAGATTCATGCTTTCACATAAGGATTTCAACTCATTGCAGGGTGTTTGGTTAATGAATGATCCCATGATATCCTCAAGTCCCAAGTTCTGTAAGAATGTGCAAGGTGTTCCCTATGAGCCAGGAAGAAAGGAGCATCACAGAAAGAAGACCACCAGGATGACAGAAGCCTCCCATTTTGGCCGTACTGTTAGCTCCATTCCTAATTCAAGTCAATAGGAATGTAGGCCGAAAGTAAGCATTTAGTCTTATATTTAGTGGAATTCTGAGAACAACTATAATACTTTTTCAAGTTGGCTTGAGGAACTCAGCTATTTGTCAGCAAGAACAAAGTCAGAAAATATCAGAGCTTCAGAGCTGGGAGGATCTTTAGAAATGATCAAAGCTAACCAACTCCTTTATTTTCCAGGGGAAGCCGAAGCCCAGAGAGCTAACGTGACTCACCTTAGATTATATAAAGGGCAGTGGCAGATCTAGGGCTTGAACCCAAACAATTATACTTTTTCTGCTATCCCACTGCAACTGGAATTGAAAGAGTTAATGTTCCTTTAGACCAGAGGTTCTCAACCTGTGGGTCGCGACCCCTTTGAGGGTCAAAGGATCCTTTCACAGGAGTCACCTAAGACCATCAGAAAACACATATATAATTACATATTGTTTTTGTTAATCACTATGCTTTAATAATGTTCAATTTGTAACAATGAAATTGGGGATCACCACAACAGGAGGAACTGTATTAAAGGGTCGCGGCATTAGGAAGTTTGAGAAACACTGCTTTAGACTAATGATGACATACTAATTCTCACACTATATTCATGGGCAGAGACATATCCCTAACACCCCCTGTTTAAAATCTTTGAGAAACAGTGCAGTAGACTCTGACAAGATCTGTCAGAAAGACGGCTTTCATAGGTGACATTTAATCTCATGCAGACTTTTGTTGGCTCTGTGCAGAACTTCATTTGGATTCATAACCCTGCTCATAAATGTGAAAAATTCTACCCTTACCTTGACTTTGTGAAATAAAAACATTCTCCCAAAGCGGTTGCATTAAATTATATAGCTTCTGAAAACTGTCAAATACGCTTGAAGATCATGATATTATCTTCAGCGGTAGCCCAAATATTTAAAAAACAACAACACACACACAAAATACTGGAGAGAAATAAGACTTGTGTTCACTGAGGAAAATATTTTCTCTGATTTTTGCTTGCTTTTCCATTTTACAATAGAGAAAAGCACCATAAAGATATAACAAAAAGCCATATATAAATTCTAAGAATAAGCCAATATTATTTTCTCATATTTGCTTCATATTCAAAATTAAAAAATAATAATTTTGAAACTTCTTTAATGCTTTTCCCAAGTTCATTCTTTTTTCCTCTCGAGACGCAACCACTATGAATACTTTTGTGTGTATCCTTCCAATTCATGTCTTTATGCTCACATTTTTAGAATTATATATTTATTGTATATAGAGCACCCTATAGTACCTATTATTCTGTGCCACATAAAACCTATAAAATACAATTGGAAAAATAAGCTAGGTAACCAACCTGAGTAATTTTTTATAAGAATATAAATATCTCAAGATAGTTTCCAAAATGGCCCATTGTGATGAATCTGACATTGAAATTATAATTGAGTTAATACCTTATATTTACTTATCATTATGTGAAAGGGGAGGGGAAGTCAGATTTGTTAAACTCTTACTAATGTACAGGGTGCTGAGCCAACTACTTGATATGTTATTTTATTTCATTGCAAAAACAGCTTGATATTAGAGTGCCATATTAAGGATGAAAAAACTGAGTCTTGGAGAAATTAACTTACCAAAGTCACACAGCTGCTTAGCAACAGTGATGAAAAGAACAAGGTCTGGAGCCAGAGGGCTTGTTTTCACATTCGAAATTTACTCCATCAGCTGCGTGACGTTGGATAGATACTTAACTTCCCAGTGCTTCAGTGCCTTCATTTATACAATGGAGTTAATAATAGTACCTAGCACAAAGATTTGTTTTTTAAATATTTTTAAGATTAAATGATTATAAATATAAATATAAGTAATCCTGAGATCGGCCCCTAGCCGTTTTGGCTCAGTGGATAGAGCATCGGCCTGAGGACTGAAGGGTCCCGGGTTTGATTCCAGTCAAGGGCACATGCTGGGGTTGCAGCTCAACCCCCAGGAGGGGGCATGCAGGAGGCAGCCAATCAATGATTCTCTCTCATCATTGATGTTTCTATCTCCCTCTCCCTTTTCCTTCCTCTCTGAAATCAATAAAAATATATTTTAAAAAAGTAACCCTGATCTAGACACTCTATCTGGACATTTTTCACTTTAGCCATATTTCCCCACCAACTTGTTATTTTTCTCTCAATAAATTCCCATTCTTTTTCTGGAAAAAAAAAAAAAAAAGTAACCCTGAGAACAGTTTCTGGTGTTTCATGTACCACATATGAATAATTACTATCATTATTATTATTGGATCCCTCATTCACTGCCTCTTTTAAAAGAAAGTCAAATAAATAACAACTAAACAAACAATGAAAAAAACAGAAACTAAATAAAACTGAGGAAGGGAGAGAAAAACTGCAATTGAGCCAAAAAGTGCGTCTCTAAAGCTTCTTGTGGAGACAAAGGAGATGTGGCGGCCCCGTGCCCTTTCATACCTAATTACTGACAGTGCTGTAATGCATCAGGACAGCATTCTCCCAGCTCCTAGAACTGTAAGCATCTTCATCTTCTGCATATTGAGCAGAGCAATAAAACAGGTCCTCAGACGTGATTTAACAGAAGTACAGAGTCTCTTCATTTTGCCTGTTCTTGGTGAAAGCCGAGGAGGTGTTCATTCAACAAGAGCTGCTGAATTTGGATGAGGGACAGGGTGATATATCCAGATTATGCAGCTTTTAGGTGCCTGGCTATAATGAGGGTGTATGAAGAGGGGAGAGCATAGAGAAGCTTGAGCTTTAAGGAACTGAATAGTGTAGATCAACCTACATCAATAAAGTATTTTTGATAGTAGCTGAATGACAATTCAATTTTGAGGTCTTGCATGAGAATAGAGAGAAAAATAATAATAAAAACCCTCACCCTGATCATTGTATCACTATAGTAGAATGAAATATCAACAGCCACTATTTGTTATTAAAGCTGATGGAGGCAGCATGTACATAAAGGGGGCGGGGGGAGGAGTGAAAATAGATAGATTATTAGAAATCCAGGGGAGAAACAGAAACAAAAGCAATTTGAAGCATTGGATGGAAAATATGCTTAATAAGTTCAGCCCATCCATCTCCCCTCCTGCAGATTCAGGCACCGGAGAAAAATGATGCTGATCTCCCCTCAAGACCTACCCTCCCTGCAGCATGGGAATGTCTGAGGCTGAGAAAAGCATTGTCACCTGAAACTATTTTTAAAATGACAAGGGAGCACCTCGATAGCAGCCCCGCTTTGGGAGTTTAGGGGCTTCAGGAAAATCCTTCCTCAGGAAGCTTAGCAAGGGCTGCATGTCCAAGAAGAGTCTCTTGGTCACATCTCTGTGGCCTGACTGGGCAGCTGGACATGCTGCAAACACCTTAGGGAGGAGACTGGCTTAAAGGTCCATGATGGTAGAGTCTGGATCTGTTTTCTCACCACTATATGCCCAGGGACTTCTTTCACAGTATAAGGGCTTAATAAACACCTGTCCTATTGAGTGAAGAAGTGAATTCGTAAATGAATCCCAGGAAAGCCAATAACCGGTAGTCCTCTCTATAGACAAACACAGGAATAGTAAACTATAGATAGTAACTTAAATATCCATCATGGTTATAAATGTTAAACATACTTTGCATCCCCCCATGCAGAATGAAAAAGAGAAAAGAAGAAATACTCATAAGTAAGGTATTGGATAAATAAATACCTTAAATATCGCTCATGGTATGTAATATTAGACTACAGAACTCTGTTACTCAAATAGAAATATTCACATGCTGAGATGTCAAATGGAAAAAGTAGATTGCGATAATAGAGCAAGTATGAGTTCAAATTTGCAGATTACAAAATATATGTGAGTTTTCTGTATATGTATTTTTTATAGAAAACATTCTGTATATATGGTTTTAACACTGATTATGTCCGGATAGCAAGGTTATTGATTATCTTAAATTTTTTTTATTTTTAATACTCTACCTAACAAAGGTCCCCTTTTACCCCATACTACCTTTATAATCAGAAGATTAATAAAGTGATTAAAAAGTGAAAATACTGGTGCTGAAAGAAAACTCTTTATTGCATCCTTGTCTGGGGATTGTGCAAGTGGCAGCTGTCACTCAATAGCACAGTGGGGAAAAAAGTGAGCCCTAGCCTGTTTGGCTCAGTGGATCGAGCATTGGCCTGCGGACCGAAGGGTCCTGGGTTCAATTCTGGTCAAGGGCACGTACCTTGGTTGCAGGCTCCTCCCCGGGACAGGTTCTGGTCGGGGCATGTGCAGGAAGCAACCAGTTGATATGTTTCTCTCACATAGATGGTTCTCTCTGTCTTTCCCTCTCTCTCCCACTCTCCCTAAAAATCAATGGAAAAATATCCTCGGGCAAGGATTAACAACAACAAAACAACAACAACAAAAATTCTCTCTACAGAACCATCTCCCACACAATTTAAAGAATTTCATGTTTCTCCATTAAATCTCGAGTGGCTAAAATGAGGTTCTTCTTGAGCCAAGATTTGGCTTCATTGGATCATACACAAGCTAAATTCACATTAAAACTACAATCTCAATAAAATCAACCCAAATTAAAGTATTGCTTTTTTATAAAAGGATAAATAGAGCATTTTATTAACACTTTTTTTTTTGCAGCAACAAAATGAAAGCCCATATCTTTTCATTCAATACAACAAAAGCTGTGATCACATAACACCACTTTGAGACACAAAGCAAGAGATATGGTTTGCATTTTTAAAACAGACTTTATGTTTTATATTTGCAGTAGCAGAGCCTCCAGTCACTAGCACAATACAATGAACAGATCAAATATCCAGAATAGACAGTTGAATACACCAATAATATTTTGAGTTGAATTGGGAAATGCATTATTATCATTTTAGAACACGAAAAAGAGGTCTGATGTTATTTTTTTAAAAGAAAAAAAAGAATCATTCCAACCACCCAAAAAAGCTACCACAAGCAAAATAAAGATAAGATACAGACAGGAAATTTTATGCATTGCACTTATTGCTTGGTACACAAATGTTGCGATTACTGTTGAGTTATATTAAGAAGTGACAAGCAAAATGCCTCTGCCCCCATCTAAAATTCTATGACTCTATGAAAGTAGAAATTTCAATCCCCTAACCCAACATTAGGTGTATGCTATTTTTTTGTATGAAGATTGTTTATTATGTTTCTGTGTATGGATATGTATAAGATATACAGATATATAGAGATATAATTTTAATATAATTTGTTGTCCTATATAAGACAAATATATTTTAAATGGGACTTTAAATAATAAAATTATCTACTTACAATCTCTCTATTAAATTTATCTTTTTATATTATATATAGCTCTGTGGCACAAGTTTTATATAGCATTTAATTATTAAGGAAGAAGAATATCTAAACCATTTTCTATTTCTTTTGTTGTTAATATTGCATTTTCAGGGCTCTATTTCCATAGTAAATTTCTCATTAGATTCTTTATGGTGTGTGCATCTTTTTTTTTCCTAATTCAAGTTACAACCTGTACAAAGTTGTAATAAAAATACATTGAAGTCTTTTTCTAATTTTTTTGCAAAAAAGTTATGTGATATGCTACATGAAAAGTCCGATTTATTAAAATGTGGAGTGTTTTATACTGTCAGGTAAATAAATGGAAGAACATGAAGCATACCCCACACTTTACAAGTTCTCGTTCACAGGTATGTGTTTGTGCCCAGCATTTCATATAAACCACTGCAAGACATTCCTTTTGATAACCAACAAAATAGCCCACATTATGTAATAACAATTATTTAGTATGCCTTGCTCATTGCTAGCCCATAATGTTCTCTAATTGAGAGATATTCCAAGTTCATGATTTACACCCAATAAACGTTGTCAACATCTGCTGCAGCCAACATGACAGCATTATATTGTTGTGTTTTGTTTTGTTTTAACACGACTTCTGCATGAGATCTTGCAATACAGTGTAACAAATATAGAAGTGCATTTGACATGATCAAGTAGCTTTGGCTTCCTAACTTTTGTAGGATGAAATGTGCCAACTGTTTTAGCTGTGCTTTATTAAATGGCGATGAGTTTTAGCTCCTATAAATCCAATGAGTAACTACTTGTTTCTACAGTTTTTGATCAGTCAACCTTGAAAGCACAAATGCAAGAATAGATGACCTGAATGGAAAAGATGGAATTTCACAACTTCTACAGATTGCACTTGATGGTAACTTCATGAGTTTGTTTTCATTTCATTTTTACAGCAAGACTTGCTTGGTTGATATGTTTACATGTTCACACCACATATTTTAAAAATTTTTGTGCAATCACAATTAAGTTAATCACAGACACTAAAAATAAATCCAGCGATTAGTTTTGTTATGAATACTCATCTCGGTCCTTATAGGTGTATGTGTCTTGTCCTTCTTCTTGTACAAATTCCTCTTTCTTTTCCCAGCCATTGGGCCAACCTCCATTGGCCTGTGTTGTGGCACCATAAGACTTGGTGGTACCATAATTGATATAATTTTGAGTAATGTCCCCTGTTTCTTCATCGAGTTCATCTTCATGGATAAACCCACATTTTTCTTCACTGGTTTCCTCAGGGTCTGCCCACGGTTGCTTCTCTCCTGAGGCAAATATTCCATAAAATATAACTCCACCGTAGTGGACGAGGGCAGCAATCAGGAAGACATATTGCCACTCCTCGCGTGACTGCAGGGACAAAAGTGGCTGTGTGAGAACAAACTCCCCATGTGTGAGACATCTTCTCTAAATGTTCCACCAGCGAGCTTTTCATAAAATGCTAGCTGTAGGGGAAACCTCTCTTCTTGATCATATGAAGCAAATCCTATGACAGAAACTTCCTATAACACTGTAACTTTCATTATTTTAAAAGTAATTCAAATCTCATGTTTTGAAATAATTCCAAATATATCTGTGGTCAGCTAATTTTAAAAATATTTATCATTGAATTACTTAATATCCTCTTCTCACTCCTTTTATTTATTTTCCTCTAGTAAACCACAATTTTGAAGCTCTACACATAAGGACAACTAGCTGATAATTAAATTCTTCCCCTGATAACTACAGAAGGGTCCAAATTGAGTCTTGTAAATAATGCTCAGAAGATTTCTCTTGCCTATTTTAATAAGCTGAGGGCAGAAGGTTTGATTTGTTAACTACATCAGAAGTATCAGAAATATGACAAGGTGCCGAAACCGGTTTGGCTCAGTGGATAGAGCATCGGCCTGCGGACTGAAAGGTCCCAGGTTCGATTCCGGTCAAGGGCATGTACCTGGGTTGCCGGCACATCCCCAGTGGGGACTGTGCAGGAGGCAGCTGATCGATGTTTCTCTCTCTCTCATCGATGTTTCTGACTCTCTATCCCTCTCCCTTCCTCTCTGTAAAAAATCAATAAAATATATTTTTTTTAAAAAAAGAAATATGACAAGGTGTTAAGGAGCATGTTGCTTATTGGTTGGGAAAGAGGGCTCACTCAGAGTTCTTGGATATTTTTTTCTGAGCCTCAATCCTCTCCCCTACTCACAAGTGTGGGGAGTGGACCAGAAAAGAAATGCCAAAGAGAATGTATTAATCCTTTCCCAAACCATGAGAGAATCTTCTACAACTAATCATCTCTTTTGTTCCATCTTACCTTATTCTTTGTCATTGCACCCACAATGATAGGGCAAACCATTCCTGACAATGTGCCAACACCATTCGAAATGCCCATTAAGATGCTGGCATATCTTGGAGCAATATCCAGGTGGTTAACATTGAAACCTGAAATACATGTAGAATCTTTAATTCAGAGAACCCCAAGCCTCTTAGAAGTGCCTACAAAAATATTCTCTACCATACTCACCACCCTCCTTAAAACATACTAGGTACACAGCAGGTGCTTCATAACTACTTTTTGCTAATTTAGCTCAGGGATATAATGAGAATAAAATGAGGTGTACTTTCTTATATTATGCTTAATATGTGATGCTCACTCCACAGAAGGAAGGAGATATGTTCTCATAACCAAAAAATAAATGAACTAAATAAAAAAGTCAGAAGGGAGAAAGTGAGTAGTAACAAGTCTAAGTAATGATTTCTAAACGTTTTATTATTTTTAATATAAATTTTAGTGGAAATATGTTCAGTAAACGTTCTTAACTCAAAATATTTAAATAGGAAAGTAGACTATATGGAGATAGATGGATAGATCGTCTTATTATCACCAGCCAAAATGAGATGTCACAAGTACAAATTTTAAAAATGTATGTTACCAGATATAGCAAATCCGCTGAATCCCACTGCAAGTACCAGGAAGGAGATAGCTACCCCTCTAGTGTGAGAGTAGCCAACGACCAGGAGCAGGGTTGCCTCCATGCCAAAACCTTCAGAAACAAATACGTGAACACACTTCAGAAATTTGTGTAAATGTTTCCAATGAGCTAGAAATGCTCTAGCAAACCACTTCTGGCAGCCCACTTAAAAATACTAACAACACTGATAATTTATATGCAAAGGTTCCTGAAACCTTCCATGTGCTGAGTAAAAACATCAAAAGCAACCTTAAGTTTCAGTGGTGGCAAGGTCAAGTTAGTTATGCAGTTATTTAAAAGTAGGAGTTATGAAAATCTAAAATAAGATAGGAAAATGTTTATAAATGAACAATGACACAAATGTAATGGCGCATGTGATATGTATAGAAAAAGTTACGCAGATTAGAACTTCATGAACTAAAAGTATGTTTTTAACATCATGGATGTAGGTACTTACCACCACAATTCATGATCTTTCTTACTGTAGTAGTTGAAAGAATTTGCCTGCTTCTTAGAAAGTCTGCAATCTGCCCTCCAATAGGTACAATAATTGTCATTACTAAGTGTGGCACAGCAGACAGCATGCCAACCTGATGACAAGAGGGGAGAAATATATGTGATCATAAGTAATGTGAGCAATGTAATGGTCTTGATTTTCTTGAACATCATCATAAAACTCTTCATGGGCAAAGGCAGGAAGAATACTATCTCCAAATGACCACTTATTCCTAGAATAAGTAGTAACTTTCACAGAATAAATGAGAAAAGCCAAGTAATTTTATTTGTATCCCTTTTTGTGTTCTGGAGAATACTTTTCTTCTGTGCTATGAGTCAGTACATTTTGAGTTTCTGAATAAGCTACCTTGAATCTTATCACAGAGTGATTCACATTTATGTGCCCATTTTATATTCTTAAATATGTTTTCAAAAATGTATCATTAGCGCCAAAACCGGTTTGGCTCAGTGGATAGAGCGTCGGCCTGCGGACTGAAAGGTCCCAGGTTCGATTCCGGTCAAGGGCATGTACCTGGGTTGCGGGCACATCCCCAGTAGGAGATGTGCAGGAGGCAGCAGTAGGAGATGTGCAGGAGGCAGCTGATCGATGTTTCTCTCTCATCGATGTTTCTAACTCTCTATCTCTCTCCTTTCCTCTCTGTAAAAAATCAATAAAATATATTTTAAAAAAAAAAAGTATCATTAGCAAAAAGTGGGGAGTAGAAGAGAGAGAGACAGAGATAGAGAAAGAGTCAGAAGGAAAAATATAGTACATTCGACAAAACCTTGAAGAGGCTGTAGTTTAAATTCATTTTTAAATTAATAATAAGTCTAACAATGTTTATAGTATTTAAAAAATATATATCTTATGAGTTTTATATTTAGATTCTATAAGAGCCCAGAAAATATAGATCAATTATTCAATTTTAGGCATTTTTTTTATGTCAAATATCAATATTTGGTCACATTGCCATACAATAAAATATATAGAGTGTGCCAAAAAATATATACACACACTTTGAATAATTACAAAGGCAGTGTTTTTTAAAATACATTTCATTTTCAAAATTGAGCTATCAGCTATTAAAGTGTGTATGCATTTTTTGGGACACCCTGTAGTTTCTATGCAATCTAAAAATCTAACCCACCTGCACCAATTCAACACAGAGTTTCTTAGCAATAATTATGTGCAAGGCACTATTCTCTAGACATTATGGAGGCAGGAAGTATAAATAAAATGCATTTTAATTATGTACTGTATTACCACATATGTGGACTTAGTAAATTTTAAATATAAGCATATAAGGAGGTTTTTCACTATGTATACTAGTACTTTGAAGCACAGTTCCTGACAAGTGCAGGATAAGTTTATTATTTGATGTAACTATGTCTTTCAAATTAGACTACTGAAGGTTTGAGACAAAGACTGTGTTTTATTTTCCAAGGTGTATAATGTGGCGCCATGACCAAAGATTTGGGTTGTTTGGACGATTAATTAAGATGGTGAATGACTCTAAAATAGGTTAAATGTCCAAGCTACTTAATTCTCTCTTTCACTTTGGATAGAAGTGTTTTATATTGTCATTATTATAGTTTATCGTAGAGTTTAGTTCCTGAACCATGTCAGCCTAGATCCAAAGCCCATGATCTATTTCCTCCATCACCTCCTTTACATGTTTTTCAGGGAAGTCTAGAGTCTTTTTTTGTTGTTGTTATCGGTATAATCAAAATCATCAAGCCAATCTGTGTGTGTAGAAGTTATCCATAATTTTAAAATATAATAAGTGAATCAAATCAACCCATCTGGTTATTATATTTAGTTGTTGTAAAATACCATTGCTTTCACTCACGCATTTTCAATTAATTGGAGCTCCAGGGCCAGAATGACCATGCAGTTTCATTAACATCAGTTGGTTCCTTCACTCTCCCCCGGGAGACCTGACTTTATTAATAGCCTCTCAGTGTCATAGTTGGCCCAGATTCTGAAAATGGACTCACACCTCCAGCAGCCTTTGTTGAGAAGTGTAACACCTCTCAGAGCTCCCAAAGGCTACTCTGCTGTGTTTGATCAGCTACAGGGAGAAGAGCCTTGTCTAAAGCAGCATTATTATTCTCAATAATGGAGGAAACAGTTTCCTTAGAAACAGGGATGACAAAAGGGCTCTTAGAATAGCTACTCCTAACTCAGGTTGCCTTCAGTTCCAGGCCTCAGATAATCTTTCAAGTAGAGGCATAATATGAATAGTGAGCCCAGCTGGACTTAGGTAATGACATGAAGAGAAATGGCAAGTCCATTGCCAGCACAGACAAGTGTATTCAGGACTCAGCAAAGGGCTAGGCGCAGAGATGGCATTCAACGAATACTTGCTAAATGCTTAAGTTAATATATGGTTTACCTGAATTTGAATGGCACAGTAGAGGGAATTGAAACAAGTCAAAGGATCTGGGCTTAAAGTTGATTCTGTCATTTATCACCAGCTTGGCTTCAGGCAATTTAAATGCTATCCCTAGCTTCTGGTTCTACATCAGTTCAAGAGAAATGGTGATAGTTACACCCTATTTAATCATACAAGGTTGTCCATGAATATGAAAGGACCTTGGAGATTTCAAACCCTTATATAAAGTAGTAGTATTATCTTCATTTAATCCTTATAGAAAACCTCAAAATGATTATATTATCATAGCTATGAATATATGCCTAAATATAATAGCATTTAGCATACTGTAATTGGTAGCGTCCTCTTTTTTTTTTTTTTTTTTTTTTTTTTTTGGTCTACACCACCAATCTATAAATTCTTGAGGACAGAAAACATATTTTTATTTCTGAATCTAACACAAAATTTCACATATCATGTTCAACAAATGCATAAATTGGAGAAACACCATGTAAGCATGTTTTCAAATATTTTTTGTTATCCTCAAATCTTTTAGCCAGACAAATTTCTGAGAGCACTGAAGAAGAGTTAGCTTGGTAATAGCAATTCCACCTTAATGAAGTACTTTTACATTCACTGTTACATAGTCTCTGATATGATTTAAAAGAAGTTATGTTTGCCCTGGCTGGCCAGTGTGGCTCAGTTGGCAGGGAGCCATCCTGTGCACTTTAAAGTTGTGGTTTAATTCCCAGTCAGGGCACATGCCTGGGTTTCAGGCTCAACCCCGCAAACCCCCCCCCCCCCCCCCCCCCCCCCCCGCCCCTGCCCCCCACCGTGGGCCTGTGCAGGAGGCAGCAGATGGATGTTTTGCTCTCATGTTTCTCTCTCTCTCTCTCTCTCTCTCTCTCTCTCTCTCTCTCTCTCTCTCCCTCCCTCCCTCCCTCTCTCCCTCCCCATTCCCTCCCTCCACGCCTCTCTCTCAGCATGTCCTCTGGTGAGAATTAAAAAGAAAAAGTTATGTTTAATTGCAGAGAGAGGGCAACACTGCTGCCCACCCCAACTGGGATGTAAGCTCCACGTGGGCAGAGAGTAGGTCTCTTTTGTCTGTGTTCCCTGCAAAAAAGGAGAGCAGATTCTAGCAGATATTTGAAGGCAGTAGATAAACATCGTGCTTAGCCTTTGTTTCCCAGAAGTTACTTATTGACCGAATATACAAATAACTCATGAAATTTAGAAGATAAAATCTTGATAAAGAAACTTAATATTCACATAAGTACAAAAAGTATGCACTAGTTACATAGAGATAATTTTCACATACCTTGCTGATTTCAAATCCAAAGACTTCCTCAAAATATGCTGGCTGACTAATAAGCAATAAATAGAAAGTCCAGCTTCTACAGAAATTGGCGACAATTATTGCATAGACTGGCATAGATGTAAAAAATTTCCTCCATGGAGTCTTGAATTTCTGAAATCCCAAAAAGAGAGCCATTCTGACCATTTCAAATATATTCTAACGGGCTTTGCATTTTTATGATATGTATGTTGGGGTATGAGTAGGATGGTAGACAAAAAGTAGTGAGTCATTAATTGCAACAGTCCAGTTAACCTTAGTTATATGAATGATCATTAGAAGAGAAAAAAATGTATTATTAGCTTCATATTTTGATTAAATTGTTTCAGTGTTGGGGATATACAAGATTCCATATTTATCTAAAACTAATTCCAGAAGCACAGATCTCAGTTTTTAAGATTTCTTTCTTTTTTGCAGTGACAAGATCATGCCTCAGCTAAAACTCACTGTAACCTTGTTGGTATCCAAACCGGTGACCTTGTTGGTATCCAAAATATTTTGTCTAGAATATTGAAAATTCAATGTACTTATAAAAATAAGAAAAATTGAGTGCAATAACCTAGACCCTATCTAAAGACAATGATACCACTACTTATCTATAAACACTCTTGCTAGTCAATGGATATCGGTATAAATTCTGTGACACTGGAGTGCAAGGCTCTATAAAAGTTACATGATGGATATTTGGTTAAAATATTTGGCTTTAACCCAGCATACCATGCGCACATCATAACTACAGTCATGCATTGTATAACAACATTTTGGCAATGGTTTACCACATATACTATGTGGTCTTATAAGATTACAATAGAGCTAAAAAGAATTCCTATCGCCTAATGACACCGTAGCCCAACACATTGCTTGCATGTTTACAGAGATGCTGGTATAAACAAGCCTACTGCACTGATAGTCATATAGAAGTATAGCACATCCCTGGCTGTGTGGCTCAGTTGGTTGGAGCATCATCCTGTACACCAAAAGGTTACAGGTTCAATTCCCAGTGAGCACACATACCCAGATTGCATGTTTGATCTGTCAGGGCACATGCGATTTTTCTCTTTCACATTCTCTCTCTCTCTCTCTCTCTCTCTCTCTCTCTCTCTCTCTCTCTCTCTCGTCAATAAAAATCTCTTTGGGTAAGGATTAAAAAGAAAAATACCGCACATACAATTACAGTAGCAGGCTGTGCCATCTAGGTTTGTGTAAGTGCACTCTATGATGTTCGCACAATAACTAAATCACCTAAAACTACTTTTTCTCAAAATGTATTCAGTCATTAACTGCACATGACTGTAGTTATTTATGACATACAAGACATTCAAAATTAACAACCTAAATATGATTGGCTTTGCTTATAATACCCATTAAAAATTGCATCCAATATACTTAAAGATTCTGTGTTTGCCCAAATGTACAAGTATCCTTCCCAAGACTAATTTTTACACCTTAAAATGTCTCTCATATTTCTAAACACTTTTCAATTACTTTACTTTGAACACCAAAATACTGTTTGGTGAAGAATCAATAGACTACAATAATTTTGATTATTTCTAGCTTGGGATCCTTGACCTGACCAAAAGAGTAAAAGAGGAGGCACTCATCAGTGGAATATAAAACTGAAAGAAACAAACAAGACAAACAAAAACTCTTGGACACAGACAGTAGGATGGTGGTTACTATTGTCTGGGTCTATGAGGAAAGGAGGGTGAGGAGGGGGAGAGGGAGATTTGACTTTGGGTGGTAAGCAATGCAATATAGAATTGTACACTTGAAACCTCTATAATCTTACGTCACCCCAATACATTTAATAAACATTTAAAATTAAAAAGAGAGGAGGCAAACATGCTTTTTACACAGATTTAGTAATTATTTCTGGATGGAGAATCCCATCATTGCTATTATTGATTGTGATTCTAATGAATCATTTTAAAGGTCACTTTAAAAGTAACATAGTAGAATGCTATACTGTGGTGATTACAAATATAATATATAATATAAAAAAGAATCAAAACATCACAAAAGCCCATCCTAATAATATGTAATGAGTTCTATGGCTTTGGATAAAAATGTTAAGTGTCAGCATTAGAGACGGGTTCCAAAAGTGCAGGGTTGTTGTTTTTTTCTCCTTCAATTCAGAATGTTCTGGAACAATGGTGCCAGATGAATACACTTATTCACTGATAATAAAAATGTCCAAATAAGGAATGTTAGCATTATAGATATTTGTACAAGAAATAAGTTTAGAATATTATTAGAAGTAAATAACTTTTTCTTGCTCGACTGGCATTTCTTTTATTTACATCAGGGCCCTGAGGACTTTATTTTTCAGGTTGCAAAACATTTCATCAACCATAAGAGAAAAGTATCTAATTTCATACCTTAAAAAGTGGTTGGGGGTTGTTGGAGGATTTATGGTATTCTGATAACATTCTACTACAACACAGGTGTATTTAGTTTATTAAAATTTAGCAAGCTATTTGCTTATGATTTTGTGCATTTTTTCTGTATATATGTTGTATTTAATTATTTTTAAGAGAGATTCAAGAAACATTAGAGTCAGCTGCAATGTGTGTGATCTTTAATTGGAGCCATACTCAAAACAAATAGCTATAAAAGACATATGAATATAGACTATGTATTCGAATTTGCACTGGATATTAGAAATTTAAATATCTAGGTATTAAATAATGCTAGGAAATTATTTCTAATTGTGTTAGGTATGATACTAGTACTTAGATTCTGAAGGAGGATATTCTTATTTTCTAGAGACTCATGTGAGATATTCATGAATAAAGGTTTATGATATCTAATTTACTTTGAAATTATTCAGCAAAAAAATGAAATAAGTAAAACAAGATGTTAACAACTTGCATCTATGCAGTGGGTATCTGGCTGTTCTTGCATATTAAATTTGTTCATAATAAAAAAGTTCAAAATAAAATGTAAGTTCTATCACCACTGGTATATTTTGAATAATTTACCTTGAAGCTAAAGTATAAAATACCAATAAGTCATAAAATATTATGTTTAGAAAAGCAGTAAGATATAGAAAATGGGAATTTTGAGATTATGTTCTTTTATCCATCTGGCTGTTCTTTTGAGGGTTATTTCAGAAAATTTATGCCTGATCTAGACGCACAGTATTTCAAGAACTGGTAAATAAAAGAAGCACATTTAACTAATGAAGATACAGGCTGGTCAGGTTGTTTTGGGCAGAAATTGAAGCTAAATTCTGAACTCACCTTGGACCAACCTACTTTTAGCTTCTGCTCACAGCAACTGCGGCTGGTGGGCACCAGAGCACACTGCCAACACCCACCCCACCCCCACATTTCCTCCTATCTTTTGAGTAGCCACCACTAGAAAGAAATTATCAATCCATTTACAGAAGGAAACAGGAAGGGGAAAGTTTTAAATATCAGTCTACTCAGCTCATGGAACAACTATAATGTAAGGATTATTTTTAAGTACTGAAGTTTAACTTCTGAATAATATCCAACATGGAATTTTTCTTATTCATTAAAAGTCAAGATACATGTCTTCAGTAACAATGGGCAACTGACCTTTTACTAGAATGATATGTCAAAGACAGGCCTTCTCTAACAAATGAAGTAGGGAAACAGAGCTGGAATAATATACAATTCAAATGTGGGAGGAGAAACATAATGTATAAAGGGCATTGGTTCCTCAGCCAGTGAATGTCACCTTCCCACTCAGCATAAGGAAGTTAGGTTACTGATTAAATGCTGAATTACTAAACCTGTCTAAATACATGACTTTTCGTTTACTAGATTTATCGTAGTATCATATGGCTATCTGCTACTTACTATTTATGATTTATTAATGTCACATGTACTAAAATAGTTGCATTATTGACATATAACTTCATTTCACTCTCTATAGGCAGATCCTGTCCAAGAAGCCCAATCATAATCAGGAAAAGGGCTTTACAACATTATCTATATAATGATCTCCATAACAATGATTCTAAAAATGGATTATATCAATAAAAGGATTATGTTAATAATATTTTCACATCAGCTCTCTGTTATCAGCATTCTAATGCTTTAGGACTTACTAAACCACATGTAATATAAATACATATGTATGAAACCAACATTTAGACTATTTGACGAACAAAAAAAATCGCCTTTTCCATGACTGAATTAGGTGATTTGGCATTTCCTACAATCTAAAATTAACTATTGGTTGAATTTGTTTAAATTATGGCCCATATTGAACTGTTTTTAAAAACTCACTTAGGTTTATAATCATAGCTATAACACAGGGCAAATTTGAAAATACTTAACAAAGATAAAGAAAAAAATATAGCAATAATTCCCAAGTATATCAGGGAATATGAATGAAGTAAAGAAAACACTCATGATTGATACCATATTAGTTTTGTTGAATTGGTTGGTTGAAGGGAGATGAGATGGAGAATAGGAATAGAAATATACACCATAATAAAATTCTTACTTCCATTGCACCTAAAAGATTTGCACTCTCTCCAATGCTTTCTTCTATGTACCTACGTTCTTCATCTGTAATAGTAGGATGCTTTGCAGGACTCTCATAAGACACCAAAAGCCAAAACATGTACCAGACCATCCCAAAACTTCCTGCAAGCAAGAGTTCAAAAGGAGCAAGTCAAAGAAAACCATTATAAATACTTCCATTTAAAAGTCATTTGCTGAAATAACACTACAAAAAAATCTCATGACAATCATATTCTATAGAACGTGAATTCAAGTTTCTGTTTCTACAACTAACTTTAGTCACCTCTTCTTGTCGTTTGCCACCAGACTTCAATCTTCCTGAAGGGTGGTCCTGGATTTACCTCTGTCTCTAAATAATGCTGATACGCAAGAAACTCACAACAAATAATTATAGAATGGTGTGGTCTGGAACACATTCACCCATCCAACAAATATTTATTGAGAAGTTACTTTCCCAGGCACTCTCTTAAGGGAGAGAAATATGAGGAACAAGACAAAATCCCTGTCCTCAAAGAATTCTAGGAGGTTGATCCTTTTGTTATTGGCCTGTCTTGAATATAGAAGAGGGGTCTGCATTTCCAGAGAAAAGAAATGCCCCTTTACTTCTTCTGATAGCATTTCCAGATCTAGTAAACAGACTATTAAGTAAAATAGAGAAAATTATTTCAGTCTTGAGTGGCTATTGTACATTTAAAAATGGGCTTCTGTAATTAATATAGGAACATTTCCCACTTTATGTGACTGAATACCATATTATTTTCGGGACATGCTATTGCCTATTGATCATTTTTGGGGGGCAGATGAAAGTTATAAATTTCAGTACAATAAACTGTTTGCAAGTTCTTTTCATCCCCTTCTTTATTTACCTCTCTCACCATTAAACATGCCCTTATTTTGTGATATAAATCTGGACACATTAATAATACAAAGAATTTCAAGTGATTTATTCTTGTTTCCCAGCAGCTGGCCATTTCATTCTTGCCTCAGACTGTTCTTTCTCCCTTGGGCAACAATCCCTGATCCCCATATACCTTTTTTTTTTTTTTTTTTGCTTGCTCAGTCTCTCCGTGTCCCTTAATAATGCCATAGTTTCTGATGTGGCAAGCTTCTTTCAATTACTAAACATGACAGTGAAAATCTGATATAGTGTACTGGTTATGGAATATGGCTCTCCCAGATTCAAATCCTGGCTGTGTCATTCATTAGCTACATAATCTGATCAGGAACTGAATCTCTCTAAACCACCACTGTAAAATGAGATAATAATTCATTTTTTATGAGATTGTGGCAAAGTAAAGTTAAGGCAGATAATGCATAAAGCAACTAGCACAGTGGAGGGCTGAAAATAAGAATTCAATAAATGGGAGCTCTTGTGATTTAGAAATAATTATCATTACTCCTCTCTGAATGCATCTGAAGTGCCTAATATGCAGCTAATTGCTTTTTACAGGATGTAGCAAAAGAAGGTTTACAGTTGTAAGTACCTGAAACATAGTTTATCCTGGTATTATTATTTATTAATGAGTGTATTATTTTCCATAAGAACAACTGTAAATCTACTTTTGCTCCCACCCTGCATGCATTATCTTTTTAAACCTTAGTCACTACACAAGTCTTATCTTACTGAGTTTTAAAATATCAATATTAAATGTATGACTCAAAGACCCAAATTTTGTTACACACAGCAACTGAGCAGGTACCATGATAGGATATTTTCAGATTACCTAATATTTAAACTTTGAACCATTCAAGGATAAACATAAAATAAGTTATAACTTGAAATAATGTGGCTGATTTTCATACATGCTTTGTGGAAATTAGTCTCCTTACTTTAAAGCCACACCATGTTTTCAGTCAAACACATCAGAGGGTTTAATGGATGGCCCTCCCAACTTGTACTCTATACCCTAGAAATAAATGCTTAAAACTTCTTTGAATTATGAACTCTTAAAAATCTAATGAAAGATATAGATTAAAATCTGATAAAGTGATCTCTCCAGGGGAAACAATGTACAAATGCATGCATGGCTTATAATTTAGAGCATTCATAAATGCAAAGCCATCCAGGGCTTTTGAACCAGACTAAGAGCCCCTCCTATAAAGTATATTTAATAACACTCTACAAACATAAGTGTTTGCTCTGATGAGAACATTTCAAAATGGAAATGGATCTCAACAAATTTGGAAACAGCCAGATAACTATTCTGCTCAACCACATGGCTTCATTAATCTTTCAGGTTCTCATGCTCATGCTCAGAGATGGTATTAATCAGTGACAAAATCAGTTGGAATCCAGCTCTCTTATGTTTTTCCTGTCCTCATTATTATAAAAGTGTCTCTCAGAAACCTTAGGGCAGCAGTTCTCAACCTGTGGGTCACGACCCTTGGGGGTCGAATGACCCTTTCACAGGGGTCGCCTAAGACCATCAGAAAACACATATATAATTACATATTGTTTTTGTGATTAATCACTATGCTTTAATTATGTTCAATTTCTAACAATGAAATTGGGGGTCACCACAACGTGAGGATCTGTATTAAAGGGTCGAGGCATTAAGAAGGTTGAGAACCACTGCCTTAGGGGGACTTTCATTGTTAAGTTTTCAGCTTCTAGTTAGAAAGTAAACAGAAAGGGAGTTTGAATTTAGGGTTTCTTGTATTTTTTATTTCCATGTGGGGGCTTAATCTCCTTTAATGCAAAAGAAATGAGGACTCAAATGTGCTACTGCTGCAAGGGACTGCTAATATTTCTTCACAAAATTGAATTGTTACATTAGCATTACTATAGCCGTCCAGCTCTCTAACACTGTTCAGACTTGAGGAGGCACAATCAGGGAAATGACCAAGGAAACAGTAGTAAGAAAGAGAAGTGGGGGCTTCCTAGTTCTTTCCTCTTATTCAGCTTTGACTCGAGCTAACTTAATTTTATTATTCATAATCAAGGGCAATATCCATCATACATCACAAAGTTTCCATCAGCAATGAGGTTGCTTTTTAAAAAACAATAAAAAACAATGTAGGAAAAATCATAGAGGTAGAACATTTTCCTTGATCTTCCCAGAATATAAGGAAAGAACTCATAATGGGGAAAAAAATTAGTAAGTAAACACAGAAGTTACATTTAGTGACCTATCTCATTGTTCTAGCTTATGCAGAGTTCTTTGAACTCTAGGGTATAGAAATGTAACATACCATAGACATAGAATACTGAAGACCAGCCGGTATACTGTACAAGAATGCCAGCTAAAGGCATTGCAATCACAGCTCCAGCATAGGAACCTAAAGGAGGAGGGAGAATGGGGAAAAAAAATTAAATGAAATCAATAAAAATTCTTGACTTTATTTCATGTTCCTTGATTCACTCACACAAATTTCCACTTATACACTTGAGTACATGCACACTCACACTCATATATGCCTACATATTTAGCCACGAATACAGGACTACACAAGTAGATATAACTTGCCCAAGACACAGCAAAGATTTAAAAATAATAAGACTACAATAAAAATTAAATTTAAAAGACTATAATAAAAATAATTCATAAACAAATTTGAAAACCTAGATGATGTGGATGAACTAAAAAAACAACAGCAAAGCACAAGAAGAAATACAGGATGTAAGGAGACCAATAAGAATTAAAGAAATTGAAATGGTGGCCCCAAACCTTTCCTCATATACACACACAGGCACTCCCCAATTGGTTTTTCAGGTGACCTTTACTAATTTAAAAATCTTATTCAAGTCGTTCCTAAACTTTCACCCACCACAACTACATTGGCGCATAGTATTTACCACAAAAGGAGGTGGTTGCCAATCTACTTCTCTCTAGAGGAGGGGCCCATTTGCTCCATATTCCATGACATGCTGGGTAGGTGACACCCTGTGATGGAGGAAGATATATATCACCATTTAGGATCCAGGGTCATTGGAAAATAGGCACATTCCCTTCTCTGATGCAGTTTCCTTAGAATGGGCACAAGGGAAAGTTGCTATTCATGAGACTTTGCTGATTCCCTGAAATCCCATCTTAGAACTTTCAGCCCAGACCAGGTAAGGCCTGGCCTCTTTTTAGCGACCTGTTCAAATTTCCCACCCTTCAAGTCTGATTTCTACCTCAATTTTCTTCTGATCAAGGCAAAATGAGAGATCTTACACTATTCAGTTCATATGTAATTCTGAACAGTTTGGGAAATTTGGAAGACCTTCCTGTGAGGCATTAAACTCAGTGATTCTTAATATAAGGAATCCATACAAAGGAAGTTAAAGCTTAGACCCTTGAAATTCACACTTTCTGAAAGTAGTATCTAGAACTTAAGACTCTTAAAGCATAGTCAGCCCTCTGCAGCCACAAATTCTACATCTGCAGATGCAACCAATCTCAGCTTGAAATTTTTAGGGGAAAAAAATGCTACATTTGTTGCTGACATGTACTATGTAGTTGGGCCTACCATGGTTGTGTCTGTACCAAAAATGTATACATTTGTTTTTCTTGTTATTATTCCCTAAACAATAGAGTATAACAACTATTTATATAGTATTAACATTGTATTAGATACTATAATTAATTTAGAGATGGTGTAAAGTACAAAGGAGGCTGTGCACATGTTATACCCAAAGACTACACCAGTTTAAAGGACTTGTCATCCGTGAAATTTGGTATCCAACAAGGGTCCTGGAATGACTATAATTCTCCTTTTTCTGTTATTGCGATCCTATTAATTTTTCCTTGTTTTTGGAGAGAGGAGATTGTTTTCAGTGCCTTTATACTTATCTGACTTATCTATTCCCACCATACTCCATAGAAAGAGAAGGGCAACAGGTAGGCCAACCTCAAGTTTTTAAATGCAATTCTTTCAAAGGCAGTAAGCTGATGGAGCAAAAGTCAGTCACTAGAGTTACATGCCCATTTCAATAAAATGCATCAGTGAAAACTCAAATAATGTTTCAAAACCAATAGAGTGACTTGGTATAAAATTCCCAAAATTCAGTATTGTGGCCAGCAAAGAATACACTCAAAAATTTTTATTACAGCACATTTAAAAAATGCCTGTTTTTTTAAAAAGTGAAATAGTCACTAAACATTTCTTTAATACCACTCAATTCTAGAGAAGGGGAGGTAAGCAGTCACAGTTGTAATTTATCATCACTTAAAGACAAAATAGCTGATTGCCTAACTTTTCCAATATTTTACATGATGTAGACACAACCAAATAAGACATATTTATTTGTAGATCAAGACAAAGATTGCTGGTTCTTAATAACATGGCAGCCTTAGCATGCTGTCATCCTGCAGTTTCATACCTCAACAAGTCCCTGCAATATCCTAACAAATATGACACATCCATAATGCACTCTGGCTGCTGATGGGATTAGCATATTCAGAGTAGAGGTGAGAAGTATGGCAGCTCCAAAAACCCTGAAAAACAAAAGAAGTTAATAGATCTAAATTTCTCTGGTTAAGTTAATCACAAGCACTTTTTAAAGTAGAATTTTTTTTTTCTCTCAAAGAATAAAATACGTTCTGGACTTGATTGGCTCGAGCCATTGCAAACAGATTTGTGGACTAACTCAAAATGCTAGGAATACAAGAAATAAAAGGAGAATCTAATAAAACTGGTTATACTTACTTGTATTTATCGTCTTTGTAGATGTACTTACAAAGTACTGCAAATATTTAATGAATCAGAGAATATGTTTTGGTCTGTATCTCCATCTACAATGGAAGCTGCTTAAAGGATAGAGTGTGTTTTCAGATACACTGTTATATCCCCAATACTAGGTGCCAGGCATATAGCAGATACTCACTGAAGAGCTATTGAAAAAATAATCAATGCCTAAATGGAGCTGTGCCTTACATTATACAACTATTGTTATCATCCTTAAATCAGTATATTCATAAAATTTTGTGGATGATATCATATTGTAAATGCTCCAAGGAATCACATGATCAAATCTCACAGCACGTTTTTGTTTTTTGCTTTTTAAAATATTTTTATTGATTTCAGAGCAGAAGGGAGAGGGAGAGAGAGAGAGAAGCATCAATGATGAGAGAGAATCATTGATCGGCTCCCTCCTGCACGCCCCCTACTGGGGATTGAGCAACCTGAGCATGTGCCCTTGACCAGAATTGAACCCAGGACCCTTCAGTCCTCAGACCGATGCTCTATCCACTGAGCCAAACCGCCTAGGGCAGCACATGTTTTTATAATCGAAATAACTATTACTTAATATATATGTCTCAGTTTTGTTTTTTTTTGTGTGTGTGTGTTTTGTTTTGTTTTGTTTTTGCATGTGGGTAGGTGGGGAGATGGTGTTTGAGTAGCATCTCTAGATGCATACATATACATTACAATTCAAGAAAAAATTGCTGAAAATATGATGCTAGGCCTTTTATCCATCTACAAATAAAAAGTCCATTTCATCACAATACATTTTTTAATGTTCATACTAAAGCAAGAAAAACATCCCCCAACTGAGTGATTTTAGAAATATCCTCTTGCCTGGAAGTTTTGTGACATATTATCTCTAATGAGCTTAGCTGTGTGTTCTATGCAAGTTTTCTTAAGGCGCACATTGAGCCTTTTACTCAGTCAAAATTTGGTTGCCTCAGAGAACCTCAGATTCTTCCAGGGGCACGTTGAAATGTGACTGTGAAAGGCTTGAGCTTCTGTAAGGAGCCTTGATTGTGATTCACCTGCTACTGAAATGTGAATGACTTTATGAAGGGTTGAAGAAGGTAAGCTCCTTTTCCATGAATCAAAGACCTGGACTGAGCCAAATACTTTTGTTTACTTGATGCAGCCAAATAGCCCCTGTCCTCAGAGAATTCTCTCCAGCGAAGTAAAAGGTGACTCAGGAGGTGAATGTCCTGTTCCATTTTCCCTCCGTTCTGTCCGCTGAGTAGATATCTTTGTGTTTGTGTAAAAACATAATTTATTTCCTAACTCTTTGACACCAAATAGAAACTTTCTATTTCTAGAAATAACTCTTCCCATGAAAATGCCACACACCCAGTAATATTAAACTTCTGCTAAATATAGATTTTTTTTTTTCAGAAAACAAATGCAAAAATCCCAGAACCTGTCTTGTAAAATAAGAATCTAAAATTATTATAAGAATTGCTTTTAAAGTATTTTAATCCTTAATTATTCTTTTTGAATTAAAAGAATTTTCACCTCTCTTAAGTCTACAATCTCAATGTTCTTGTGTGCCATCCCCAGAACACCTTGGGTCCTTTAGGGCTGAGAGGAAGTAGGAGGGAGTCTTTGGGGCCTGTTTGAGGGACCTGGTGTTAAACGGGGCGTGTTCCCAAAGGCCAGTGAGGCAAACATATCTTCCCACTTTTCTAGGAGTTTGAATGTGGTACCTGTGCAGCAGAAAAAATGAAGGTGGAAAGAACAAATGGCACAGGAGTTCAGGCCACGTGGGTAAGCTGTCTGGGTGCTGGCAAACCCGTGCTGTCTTTCTGAATATCCATCCCACTTTGTTCATTATCATTGATAATAGTGAAACTGACTGCTTAGGGCTTTAAGGATAAAGAGAACCAAAGCTACATAATGCTGCAGGATTCTTGAAAGTGTTTGTATGAGTTATGCATCCACTCAATTCAGCCCTTTCAAAGAATTCTTGCAAACTGTCATCTATAAGCCAGATGCATTAGAATTCGCTGAGTGCTCATTAAAAATGTAGATGTCTCCCTCCACCCGCTCCTCCCCCCCAAAAAAGAAAATATCATTTCACATCGAAAGACAAAGAGAGGAAAGCAGTGTGTGTGTGTGTGTGTGTGTGTGTAGGCTCTATATTAATAAAGAGATTACCAAAATTGAGACCCACATAGTATGGCTGATACAGAAATCTTGGGAAAAGGAAAAGCTGTTGTTGAAAACCTGTGCCACATCCTGCCTGATGATAAACCTTCAGTGTGTTCCAAAGTGAGTTAGCTGTGGGATTCGCAGTCATACCCTTGTTTGATGAGCCATAGCCGCAAACCCCGCACATATCAAGCCCACCCCACAAGGATTTTCCCGGAAGAGGTGACAGAAGCACTGGTGACTTGTCACTTCTATGGATTATATCCATTTTCCCGGAATCAATCAATCAATCTCCATTTGGGCAGTGGCTTGTCACTAACAGGGAACTAGTGTTCCGCACCCCAGGTGTGGCACTAATCCTCTCCGAGAGCGTCTGCAGGAATAGAGTGATTCAGGCTGTTTAATCTATTTAGTCTAATCAAATCCGTGCTCAGCCACCTCCCTTTGTCACATCCGATGCCCCCACTCCCATATTAAATAAGGACTACACCAGCACACCAGCCCTCGGGCTCCCTTGGTACATCATTAAGTTGTAAAAATGACTTCATCACTCATGACAGAGAAATTGGACAGCCCCAACAGCGGCATATGGCAGAGGGGAAATCATTCTACCAGCTGCCCACCTCTCTCCTCCCTCCCCTCCAGGGGCTGCCATTGTAGGATGTGGCCACAGGGGAAGACAGAGCTGGTAAGGGGTGAGAGGAGGGGAAAATGAAAGGCCAGAAAAGCTGAGAGAAGCTCATGTCAGCAAACCACCTGCAAGCCCTTAGGGACCCCTCTCCCTCTCCCTGCATCTATTCATCTTGTGGAAAGGGTATTTCTTTTGTCAGAAAAAGGAAGGCCTCTTCTGCATTGCCCTAGATACCTAACCTATAGGGCCCACAATGGGAAGGCAGCTAGATGTTTGATAGGCAGCTAGATGAGTGAGATAGAAATAGTCACCTCTGACCCTAAGAGACTGAATGACTACAAACTGTTTTTCCATTATAGCAGGATAGTGGTCCCTTGCAGCAGGCTTTATGTTTATGATCTGAATTATTGTCTCACACAAAAGGAATTTGCAAATGTTTCTCACAGGAAAGGTTAAGGAACCATAGCTTGTAATTTACTTCAATGTTGTAGAAAACAAGTAAAAGTACAGAGGAAAAAAGATGAGACATAATAGATATATATATAGATGATAGAGATAGATAGATAGATGATAGATAGATAGATAGATAGATAGATAGATAGATAGATAGATAGATAGATAGATAAGAAGATAGGGTGTATTTGTATGTGCATGCGTGTTTGGCGATAAGACTTAAGATTTCCAATAAATGCTTGTTCCAATAAATAAAACACACTTTTATTGTTTTATTTCTCTGAAGGAAAAAGAATAGCTCCAGCAAAATGGTTTCTTTCTGGGCTTAAAATATGAAGGTGTTGTGTTTAAAATATCTTTGTTTCTCTCTTTCTGAAAATCACTCTCAGCGGGGGATTTTTCATAATTAGGTTAGCGAGAATATTTAAAACATATCAAATTTTCTTTCTATAGATGCAAATGCACATTAATAAACAGTTTTAAAATCCATCCATTTGAATCTGTGCATGTGTAAGCCTAAGTTCTCCCCTCTTTTATATTAGTAGTATGAATTAAATTGGGCCATTTGAAATCCCAAGGAAGAACCCTTCTTCTTTGACAAAAGGTCTAAACTCCCCCACTCCCCCAGACATGCTGGAACCCCTACAATCTTCCAGGAGCCCAAATTGCCACAGGGGCTGAGTAGGGAAGAAAAGTTCTAAATATCATGTTTTCCTCTCCAGATAATTATACTCTTTGTTTAAGTCATTATCAAGTTTGGATATTGTTGGATGTTGCCTTTTGTAGAGCGAAGAACAGAATCGCTCATGTTGTGGCCAAATAGTTTGGGAGCCAGTACACACACACACACACACACACACACACACACACACACACACACAAATACAGTATGTTTCTCCTGCCACAAAAATCTAAGGATCCCGTGGGCCTACTAAAAGCTTCTCTCTCTAATTCACGGATTTCTGTCCAGGATTTGGGGCATGATAGATTGTAGGCACTGATTCAGAGAACAGATGGCTCAGCCTGCTGCTGAAAGTGAACTTGGAGATGAAGCCCATACCATCAGGCAGAGATGTTCAATTTCAAAGTAGCTGTGGCTGTGGTCATGTACTAGGGGACGTCTGAGTTTTAGTCTCAATCTCTCTGTGACCTTGGGCCAGTCACCTCCTCCCTGATTCTCTATTTCCTTTCCTGGTCTGTAAAATGAGAGGATTGGATGTGATGAGTCCTGTCCAGCTCTCATATGCGCTCCTTCTGGTTCAGGGAGTGAACTCCATGGGACAAACATATGCAACCCTCAGTCTCTTCAAATACAGAATTATTTTTCTTTAGCAAAAGTCAAGTTAGAAACCCAAGAGATTCCCTGAAAGACAAAATGTTGCAGTAGGAACTGAATCTTCTTTAAATAAAGAATGGGGCAAGGGAAAAAGAAATAGTAGCTTTCAAGAGAGTTTAACCTCCAGCCTGTGGATTTCTTAGTGCATTTACAATGCCTGGCTAGAATTCAGACATCGCATGCACTGGAGTACCAACACTCTCAATACTCTGGGCTGAAGATATTTTTTAGGACAGCTCTTTATGAGACATGATATTTCCGGTGAACAGTAATATGAATAGTGTGTAAAGGAAAACAACTTTAAAGTAAGAAATCTGATCTGAAAAGAGGCATTTTATCACAATAAAAATAATCCTTTGCATTACTAATACTTAAGGCAAATTTAAACACAAGCAATGCTGAATGTTCATAAGAGCTTTTTTCTTTTAATGTCTTATCTGGATTTAAGATTTTATTAATAATGAATGACAACAGCAAACAATTATTGAGTGCCAGACCCTTCTAAGAATCTCACACATGTTCTCTTATTTAGCTGTCATGATAACCATATCAGGTAGGTATTTTGGTGAGTCCCCTTTTACAGAAAAAGAAACTGAGGCTTAAAGAGGTTACACAATGTGTAATGCCACTCAGTTATTAAATAGCATATTTAGGAATCTGAACTTACACCGTTTGCTTTAGAACCTACATCCTAACCACTACGACGTGATCCTTTTCTTTTTAAGCCACAAACATTCTGTTGTGATGTTCATTTTATTTGTTAACAAGGATCTATCATGGACCAGGCACTCTCTGAGATGTTAGGTATATAGCAGTAAAAAGAACATGAACAGAAACACTTGCTTTGTCATGAAGCTTACTTACATTTTATTGGAGAAAGGCAGATATTAAAGAGAAAAATAAGGAAACTATTGGAATGGCAGGTGGCAATGAGCGCTATCTAAAACACTACAGCAGGGTTGGGAAATCCCGGACAGGAGCATATTAGGGGCAATTTTTAAATAGGGTTTAAGTAATATTGCCACCTCGAATAAAGAGGCAAGAATAGTCTGTGTGTATATAATATCATCCATTAGAAATGTCATGTTGGCCAAACTTCCTTTGGTAATTCTGACCTTCTTTGGTTATGCCCACTGCAAAATCCTGTTGTTTCTCACATTAAGTATTTGCCCAGCAAGGTTCCTCCTCATTCTCTCACTGCAAGGTACAAGCAGTCCTTAGCCATCACTGGAAGCTCCAGGCTGCATTGTTTAAAGGCAAAGTTAATTGTCCCCAACACCTTTCAATCACTATGTTAAATATGTTCTCATCTGAAAACAATACAGATCTTGTGAGAAGTCTTTCTTTGATGCCCCACCCTAAGGCCCTCCATAGAGGTGACTAAATTCTCCTGACCAGGATGTGCACTAGCCCTTTAAGGAAAGACAAAGGAAAAAAATGATGCATTTTTGAGTTTTCTCTTGGGAATTGAATTTTCTCTTCCAGGGACTCCCTCATTTCCTCCTCTCCATGAGTGGGAAGGCAAGAATGTTTAGAATTTGACCAGAAAAAAAGAACCAATAACCTGTATTCTGTCCTTTTGCTTCATCCTTAAAATAGAGGCACCAAACCATTGCTGTTTGTTTTTCATTGAGAACTGCCTGGAAGTGTAACCAGGAGCCCTTCTCTCTTGAGGTGCTGTCTCCACACACCTCAGTTCCTCTATTCTATTTCCACCCGACACAGTGATGGCAAACATTTTCCAAAGAAGCTTCTTTCATACCTGGAGGGAAAGGAGTCTGTGCCCAGTATCCCACCCAAGGGGAATTTTATTCTATTATTAAATGATCTCTAGGGAGAATCTTATTTGAATGGGCCTCAATACTTGTAGGTGGAAAACTGGTCTTGCTGTGCTGTTTTTACTGTGTTTATAATAGAAAACATACACTTTTCAACCCAATTCTAAAAATCTCTCAGATTTTGTGTTAAAACAAAACCAAACCCTTCTAAGAGTAAATTCCATGTAGCAGGTACAAGACTAATTAGGCAGTCACCAAAATGTTAATAATAGGTGACTCTGGGTGATTAAATTATTTACAATTTTATTATCATTTCTTTTTTAATATATTTTTGTTTAGTATGTCATGCTTTTATAATTAGAAAATGGAATGTTAACATATTTTTAAAACCTGTTTTCACAGGAAGTTTCAACTATATTTGTACTGTTTTGCTATATATTTTTTCAAATGTAACCAAGATCTCAAAATCCTACGATATAACAATGAGCCAGTCAATGATTTTTCCATCGGTTCATAATATTTTACAATGAACTTTTAGTTTTCTCAGTCTGGTAGAACACAAAACATTGCATGTGAAAATATTAAGTTCCTCTCCCTTGAATACCCATTTAAAGGTAAGGTGTATACAGATCCAAATAAAAATTTTAAAATTCAGAAAAAGTTTCCTTTGTGGAAAAATGTACCAAATTAATGAGAACCTGAGTCAGTATTAGTCAATTCTTTGCTAAACATGACACAAATGATAGCAAATAGCTTGCAAAAAAAAAAAAAGCAACAACAATGACAAAAACTAATAGAAAAACCTGTTTATTGACCTCCCAGTCTTACAACCAGAAAAGCTGGGACATCCCTGGTGCTGTTTTCTTGGCAGGAAAATGTTAACACTGTAACATTTGGCAAGCTGGAGGCTTTGACTCTCAAAACACTTACAGGCACAGCCATTATATTTTCATTGCACATTACATTGAGTTCCCTGAATCATTTTTGGGTTTTGGTAAATTTTTTGTATATTTATCCCCTAAAGTGAAAATATTTCATGTATGTATTTGGAGTATCTTTCTGGGGAAGTTTAGTTTGTTTTAGAAAATATTTTATAGGACAAAAAGAAAGATTCAAAACACAACATGTTAGGGACATGAAAGCCAAAAATGTAACAAGTTCATTACCAGTAATATTTAAGGGAATATTTCCTTAGCTTTTTCTAATATAATTTTTCTTTGATTTATCCCATTTAAAAATTGAGTCCTCTACACAGTTAATGATTTTCATTTTAAACTGATTCCTTAAAAAAAAAAAAAAAAGAATATTTGTCTCTTGTTGGGTCTAAGTGCTAGCCATCCATAATCTCAGAGTAAAAACAATATTCAAAGGGCACTATTCTTAATCAATTGCATTGTCCTCTTAACATTTTGAAGGATCGTCCCAAAATATTCACCATAGAATCATTAAGCCTAAAATAAATTTCCAAGAATTCCTTCCTAGGCCTTGGAAAGGACTGGAAAATCTTGGGAAGGAAGGCACGGCTAGGAATGGGACTATAGGTAAAAAAAGGTCCTGGACTATTTCACTGAGAGATGAAGAGGGATATTTCACTGAGAGATGAAGAGGGGCCAGTTTACAAAAGCAGAGGAGATCAGACTAGAGAGGTGCCCGATTCTAGATTACTTGCCACCTTTTGGGGGGAAGAAGGGGAGTAGTCATAGGTACAGGGTCTGATGGAAGACCCAAGTCTCTGTGCAGCATTACCTGGCCGGGCGAGTATTCTTTATCAGTTCAACAATTCAGATTTAAAGAGCCCTTCCTTTTATTTGTCATCATTCACACAGTGAAGGAAATGAAGCCGTCTCTCACCCTCGGGTGGCTGGGTTCTTTGATACCCCCACCCCACCAGTTCCTATGCCCCGGATTTGGGGTGCCTCTCCAGGTGGCGCTTGGGGCAGTCCCGGGGGCCGACACTAAGGCCTGGGCTCGCAGCCACCGCGCAGCAGCAGCACCGCTGGAGGCCGCAGGCCGCAGGTGGCGCCGCCTCCACCCCGCCCCAGCTCAGCGGAGCTCATTAACAGGTGGAATCTCCCCCCCCCCTCCCTCCCCGGAGCCTGAAATCCCTCCTGCCTCCATAGAAACAAATCCTTCAGACCTAGAGCCCCATCTGGGCGGGCGCCCCGACTCGGCTTTCCACCGCCCTGCCGGGGGAGGGGGGGGGGTCAGTGCCTAAAGGAGCCGGGGCAGCGGGGGGACGAGCCGGGGCGAGCACGGCGCGTGACGCCCCCACCCCTGTGTGCATCTGGCCTCGCTGTCCCAGCTCCGCCTGCTCGCCCCCAGGCCTCAGCTCCCTCCAGGCCTTAAGGCACTGCCTTCGACTATTTTGCGAAGGGCGGATTCAGACAGGGCGCAGAGGAAGCGACAACGTGCGCCCTCCCCGGAGACCCCAAATCCTTTAGGGCGCCTTTATTCTGGAAGGAGGCCCCAGCAATTCCTGCTCCGAGAGGAGGGTGCCAGGGAATTAGGAGACCTGGCCCAGGTGTTCCCAACCCCCACGGGGCGGTGGTCCCTGCCCCAGTCTGCCCTTCTCTGGGTTCCACCACCCCGACCCGAGCCGGGCCCGCTGGGCGCGTTACCTGTTGGCCGCCAGCCGAGAGGCGATGTAGCCGCCAGGAATCTGGGTGATGATGTAGCCCCAAAAGAAGGAACCGTGGATCATCCCCACGGTTTCCGGGTCCCAGTTGAATTTGGCTTTCTATGGGAGAAGGAAAAAACAATTAAATAAAATTTAATTTACAAAACTGGGGTGGAGGGAAAGGGTAGAGTCAGCGCCTGGGCTGAGGGTCACTTTCCGTGGTTCGCCAGCCGAAGAGCCCCCCGTTCCCGGGCACTCTCTGCATTCGGGGAGTCTGGGTGACTTGATTTCGTTTCTTAACAAAACAGAACCAATACCTTCTTATAGAGAGGAAATGTCTCTTCTTAGCGGAAAACCCGTGCTCATTTGCAACGTATTGTGATGAATTGAAAAACTAGACTCCCTAGCTTTGCTCTTGGAACCATGTCAGCTGGGTGGACACTCCTGGACGAGTGGGGAATGCTTAGGGCTCCGGTTTGGGAAATGGGACTTCCCAGGGAGAGATTCCGTTAGCCCGCTGGGGGTAGAGACCCTGCCGGGGCGCATTGATTAGACGCCAGCCAGTGCGGACCCTAGTGGAATGGCTTGGAGAACGGAATCCAATCCAGGAAATTTTGGGGAAGGAAAGTGGGGAACTTGGGGTGGAAGGTGCGGAGGCCCATTGGAGGAGTTAGGAAGGAGGATGGTCCCAGCAAAAGGGGGATAGGCCCGGGCAGGAAGGACTAAGAGTCGCCCTGGGGATTTGGGGAGTCAGTGGAGAGGGAGCTGTTGCTCAGGGGTAGGTCAGGAGAGCCCAGAGGGGTGTGCCTGAGGGACAGGGCCCAGCTCTGCCTTCGCCTGAGCAACTGGGGCCCCCTTTCTCCCTTGGAATAACATTCTGAAGCCGAGCGCACTTTGCAGGGCCTCCGGGAATCCCCAGGGCCGGTCAGCGCTCACCGCTTCCCCTCCAAAGCCAGTGCCAAATGAATCCTCCCAACCCTCGCCAGGTTTACGGTGGCCGCTCAAATCCCTAAACTGGAAATACAGACCCACTGGTTCCTGCGACCTTGACATTGACCCTTCTCTCCCTAGGGGTCACACACACACTGTACGGGAAGAGGATTGGATTCCAGAGACCCCAAGTTGCCCTGGGTGGCATCCCCTCTCCTCTCCCCGCTAGCCACGTGGATTTGCTTTCCTTTTCGGTTTTGTTTCATTTTCATTATTAAAAATGTTTGGAGGAATTCGGCGGGAAATCATAACTGATATGCTGCTCCATTCCTTCGAGTAAAAGAAAAATACTTTGATTTTAGAGTCTGCGGATATGACTAAACCCCAGCTTCTTGCATGAAGTTACTCTTCTCAAAAACCTAGTGAACTAAAACAAATAATAATAATAATAATAATAATAATAATAATAATAAGCCTAGTGAGCTACACGCGCGTTTCCATTTTGCAGGTGAGAAAAGGAAGGCCCAGAGGGCAGAAGCCACTTGCTTCAGGAGCAAAAATGGCAGGTGATGATGATCCCAGAGGGTCCATCCTGGAAGGGCGGTCTTAGAAGGGCCCTAGAAGGGCCGAGGGGCACCCAGGCCTTCCGTGTGTGTGTGTGTGTGTGTGTGTGTGTGTGTGTGTGTGTGTGTGTGTTGGGGGAGCCGAGGGGGGTAACCGGGCTCTAACAGGGGCTGTGGGTTAGCGCAGCCGCGCGGCCGGCTGTCGCCCACCTCCTTGATGACCTTGCCCCCTCGGTGGATGGTGCTGTTGTTGACCATGTCCACGATGGCCACGCCCAGGTTGCAGCGGATGCCGAAGGAGATGCAGAAGCCCAGGCCACTCATGATGGCGATGATGTAGCGGCGCGGCAGGCCGAAGCACGTGCAGTCGCACAGCGGCGCCTTCTTCTCAGGCACCTCCAGGGGCTTCCCATCCTCCGTCAGCTCGATGGTCTCCCCGGTCTCCTGCTTCTTCTCCAGCACCCTGTGCGGCAGAGCAGGGGGGCGGGGAGGCAAGGACGCCTCTGGTTAGGCACCCCAGGCGCCCTCCTGTCCCCAATTCCCAGGGCCAGGCAGGGCTGAGGGGAGCGGCGCTGACCCACTCCCCGTCCCTCCGGGATGAGCGTGCTCCGGCCTCTCCAGCCTCTGCCGGTCCCCTCCCCCCGGAGCCACCCCCGCAGCACCTGGATTCACATGCACAGGCCGCTTGGGCCTAACTTTTTTGCGGGGTGTGCAGTTTACGAGGATTACCCCAAAGGCGGCTTCTGAGCGCCTTCTGAGCAACTGTGTGGACGCCTCCCAGCCGCGGTTAGTGCTTTCCCCGGGATTTTTTATCCAGCTGCCCAGCCGAGGCCCCGCACCCGTCCTACCCCTTCCTTCCCAGACAAGTAGCTTTCCGGGATGGGGACCCCGCGATCCCGCCCACAAAGGAGCCCGGAGCCTCCGGGGACTAAGACCTCTCGGGTGCGGGGCCCACGCGGCAGTGGTCTGTGAATGAGCCGCGCACTCTCCGGCCCCTTCCCCCAGCCCCAGGTGCCAATCCAATGTTTTCTCTCGGGTTACACATTTTTTTCCTTGTTACTGGAGTTGGAAACAAAGGCCTCCGCAACATATGGCCGACACCTAAGCCTCCTACTGCCAGAACATGAATAATTAATTCTTCACTATCTTGCGTCATTACTATCTCGGTTACAAACACTGAAAAAAATGTCACCGGCCCATTTCCAAAGGTTTGAAATGCAACTCCCAGGTATACAAACGTGCCCCCATATCAGCTCTGGGAGGATGTTCCATACCCGGGTAGAAGGTCTCACATTTAGTTTTTATTTTGCGTTTCTTTTTTTTAAAAAAAAATTAGCGTAGCATCTCACCAGATTCCACCCTTCTGATTCCTTTTAGGGTTTTGTCCTTGGGGGAAGAGGGTAGGGAAAAGCTGAGCGACAGAAAGCTTTTGCTAAAAGCCGATAGTGTTGTTCTAGTCCACCATTTAACTGTGAAATGTCTGTTTTAAAAAAAGCATGTGAACGGTAACGTTGCCATGGACCCTTGAGGTGAATACTCTCAATATTTAAACAAAGAACCTCCCCGTTTAAAATGGGCAGGTATTTCCAATCTACCATATAATGGCCTTTTATGCGTGCCCTTTAAATGATATATCCAGACACAATTGTTGTCATACACACGGGTAAAGCAAATGAAATTTTAATATCAATTCCAAGAATGCATGGCTTGGGAGATGGCTGTCAAGCAATCTGAGGCTAGTAGGGAAAAAAAAGTCGAATTTCCAAATTCTGTAAGTAACACCTGGGAATAGGTCACAAACATACTGTTGGCTCTGTTTGTTTATTCCTAAAGTCCAATCCCAATTGTAGAACACAGGGCAACAGATACTGGGAGAGAAAAAGGGAACTAATGGGATTTTATTTATTTATTTCACTTTGGCTTTCTATACTCATAATGCAAAGTCCAGCTCTGCACCTGAACTGCCCACCTGATGGCAGTTGGGCTGGAGAGCAGCTCTTTCCCAGGCCGCTGCGGGACTGCAGGGCCCTTGCAGTATGCACTGCCGCATAGGTGCATGACCGAGCCTGCAGGAAGCCCACCAGAACCAAAGAGATTTGGAATGTGGGGAGGCACATTGGTCAATTTCTTTACATTTCCTATACATTCCCAAAGGCTTCCGTTTCCCAAATGTGAACATTAGCGCTCTCTTGAACTCATTTATCCTTTCATTCCTGCCCTCTCTTCTTGATTTGGCTCATATTAAGAAAGGGTGTAGTCATTCAACATCTTGAAAGGGTATAAAGTGGTAGAATTGGCAGCATAATTGGTGCAATGACTATAGGGAGGATGAAATTATTTTTTAAAAATTTCCAGTACTTTCAAAGTCATTTAACTGGTTATTGTTACGGTTTTTCTTATAAGTAATGTGACCTTTCTCATACAAGAAATAGACTTCTATGAGAGGTCAAATAATAAACACATACACTGTTCTGGGTTCAGAGAGAAGAACTGCTTTTGCTATCAATTATTGATATGTTTTGATTCTTCTTCCTTCTTTAAAGAAGGATAATTCCACTGGGGGATTCACTACTCAAGTGGTTTTAAAGCTACAATCTAAATTTCTTTTTTTGCCATTACTCTTTGGAATTTCTTGATTCATTTTTAAAGGGTTGTATTTTTTATTCATTTGTCTGCATAAATTTTTTTTTAACTTGGTATCACTATAAGCACCAAAAAAAAAGGGTTTTTTTGTTTGTTTGTTTGTTTGTTTGTTGTTGTTTTTTTTTTGAACAGGTACTGGTCATTTTTCAATTGTAAAGAGGATAAATCCTGGGCAGGAAAGGATGAGAATCTGCAGGTACAGAAACAAAAATCACACACACACACATACACAAAGCAGACAGGTTCATTTAGTGCAACATTCCTGAATAAACAAGCAGGTTTCCAGAGCAGCCCCGCTCCAGCAATGAGCAAGAAAAAAAGACTTTCCGATCATATTACAATCTCTCTAAGCAACCTAAGCAACGGGGTTTGCGGAAATAGCCCTGCAGATTTTTTGCATGCCGAGCCCCAGGCAAATATGGGTTTGCTTTCTCTTACCTGTAGATCTGGCCGAGGGATTTTCCAGCAAGATTCTTTAGCCCCTCTTTTCCTGGGGTCAAAACCCTTTGTTTTACGGATTCCATTCTTGCAAAGACTGGTGCAGGGCTCTTGCCAGGTTTAAATAGTGATCGCTATAGAAGGCGAGAATTGCGCATATTGTCTTAACCCCTTAAGGTAGTTGTGGGTTTTTTTCTTCTCAGCGGAATGGTATTGATGTGCCTCCAGCAAGAGTGCGAGTGAGCAAGGAGAGGGAGAGTGAGAACAGAATACAACAGAATAGCTGCATGCAACCCACGGGTTTCCTAATAGGAGAGTTGGTAGACACAATCAGAAAGTCTCATTGGAAGGGGAGGTTCCGGTGGCAAAGGGCGCATGGTATTTGGGCGGGCGCTGATGAGTTCTTGTCCTGGAAGTCAGTCCACTGAAAAACAATTTAAATTCCTGGTGCTGAAGCCTTATTGCTGTCCAATCTTCTGGCTTTTTAAACGGAAGGGTGGAACTATCCCAGAACCATTGTGTAAGGACAAAGGCAAAATAAAAGCACTTTGTAAAAATATGTGTATTTGCTATGAGGAGCAGAGCGCTTGCAAAACTCATGGGAGCATCTTAGGTCTCAGGTGAGCAATGCTGCTATTCGTTTTGTCTCCTTGCCTATGATCTCCTCCCACCACACCGGCGCAACTCTGCTCTGCGGTAGAGTCGAATTAAGATGGAGAAAGCTCACTGCTCTTTGAGGACGCGAGTCAATAAGAGACTCACAGTTCTTCTGATTTGGGCAGCTTCAGGGAAGATTTTTTTTCAGCCCAGCTGACAGCGCTGCCGTCGCAGCGCCTTCGGGGGCGCGGCTGGGCAGAATGTTTCAGCACCACGGACAGAGTTCCAGGAAATGGGGATGCTTCTTTTGGCTGACCAGATTGCCAACTTTCTAGGGGAGCTGGGCGGGTCGCCCTGAACAAGAAGCCTTCTGGGGATCTTCAGACACGGATGCTATGGAGACCAAGTGGGAAGATGTCATCATCGCCCTAGTTTGCAGGAAGAATGGTGCATTTGGCGCTGCAAGGGAGGAAGACTATAAAAAATTGACAAGTGACTTTTCTAATCTCCTGCATTTTGCTCAGCACGCTGACACCAAATCTGTTTGTTGTAAGGAAGGAAGATAATATATTTTACTTAAGTTTGTGGTATTCTGGGGGCACCTGGGATCCGTTGGTTTAAAATATATGTACAGAAAATGCATAATTATATTGCTCCTGCTTTTTGTTTTAACCCCCGATAGGAAGGAAGGAAGGAAGGAAGGAAGGAAGGAAGGAAGGAAGGAAGGGAGGGAGGAAAGAAGGAAAGAAGGAAGGAAGGAAGAGGGAGAAGTGGGAGGGAGAGAGAAAGGCAAAGGAGAGAAAGAAAGAGAAAGAAAAGAATACCTGCAACCTCAATGACCTTGGTTAAATAAAACACAGGTAGTTTAATATATATTCCTTGGAATTTTATGATTCCTCACTTAATTCACAGCACACCACTGAGATATCAATATACTGATGAAATTTGTGGCCATACATTGTGCTTGTCAATAAATAATTACTAATGATATTTTCAAGATTTATTTTAAGTTACATATATTCCTTTAAAATATGATTTTTGTCTCATTTTCTCCTAAAGCAGAATTATAGAAATTCATGTAAGACTTGTTTTCACATATATAGGTAAAACATCAATGAATCTATTTCATTAAGTAAAGCAAGAAAACTATGCTAATTTGATGTTAATTATTAATGCATTTGACATGAATCACAGTCCTCTTAGATGCAATTCAGGCAAACGATTACAAAACAGTTTGTCCTTAAACCACATTCTCAAGGTTGAAATATTTGGATTTTATTTAAACCAACAGGGGGAGTAGATTTTTCTTAGGGATCCTGGGACCAAATCTCAGAAGTATGAATCTACATACAGAATCATGGAAGAATGTTCCCTGAACAGGCCAAATAATACAATGGATATTAATACACAGAATGGATAGCTGAAAAACAATGTAAAAAATAGCTAATACGATCTACCATTATTAAATCTGATAGTCATCATATAAATATGTATTAAATATATATCTTCTATAAAATAAGAAATCATATTTCTAAAGCTATGGAATGCCTGAAAATAGTATCTATCCCCAATGGTGATTAAGAATGAGGAGGGGAAAAAACCTAACCCAACATTAAACTACCTCCTTCCAAACAAAAGATTCAAGCTAGTCAGGACATGACTCATCTAGGTGCTTTTCAAATCGCCTGTTTCCCAAATCATTAGTGATCAAATTCATTACATGTATCCCTAAAATCATTTAGGGACACCCATGATTTTGAAATTCTGGAAAGTTATGCAATAAATAGAGGTTAAATGTGTGTGGAGTTTAGGTGGTGATAAAAAATGATTCTCCTACGTGCACTGAGAATGCCTAGAGATCTAAACCACCCAACTGCTAAGTCTGCACTATACATAGCTCACGGGACACAAACAATACAGATCCAGCATGAAAGCACTGTTTTCTAGAGTAAAATAATTACATTCACCTTTATTGAAATAAATGTCATCTGGATCTTTCCTCCATTCTCTCAATAACTGGGTGGGTGCTTGAATAAGAATTACTGCTGATATTGATGTATTCATTCTGAAACTATTCACTTAGTGCCTAGCATTGCACTAGAGTCTGAGAATGTCCCCTGAAAGATTTCACAAGCTAGATGGGGAAACAGACAAATTACAAATAGTTATGGATAAAGTTGGACAAGAAACCCAGCCTTGGAGTGAAAGTACACTGGAAAGATTTTAGGGGGTGATGTTTCCTTGTCTGTCTTAAGAGAAACTTAGCCCTAGGAAGGTGAAGGCAGCCTTGTGGAACTGAGTCGGGGATAGGTGGGGAAAGCATCCCCACCAGAGGGGACATTTTGAGCAAAGTCACAAACAAATGGAAAATGCTGTGTGCGGAAAATTACAGGAATTGTTACTAGGCCACCTGAGACCAAAGAATGCCATTTAGGCTATTCTGAAATTAATAGCTACTCCCGATATAAGAGACATATATTCAGACATTGCTTACCAACTCAACAAATTTTCTTCAACTGTGGTTCCAAAATCCAAACACTGAACATGTACTTTTGTGATATTAAGTTCATCAGATGTATCTTTATGAAAGGAAATATTAGTGGGTATACATTTGGTATTGATATAGTGATATTGAAAAAGCCTTTCCTCCTCTGGACACTCTCCCTTATCCCTAATATCTTCCATTCAATGTTAACAGTGCTTTCATTTGAATTAGTAGACACCTCTTCCTATAGGAGAATTATCCCCTCTTCCCAAGCGCTCTTTTATTGTTTTTGTTAATCCTCACTCGAGGATATTTTTCCATTGATTTTAGGAAGAGTGGAAGGGAGAGGGAGAGACAGAGAGAAACAGAAATATGAGAGTGACACATTGATTGACTGCTTCCTGCAGGTGCCTGGGCCAGGGCCGGTGATCAAGCCTGAAACCAAAATATGTGCCCTTGACCAGAATCAAACCCATGACCCTTCAGTCTGCAGGCTGATACTCTATTCACTGAGCCAAACCAGCTAAGGCTTTTCCCAAGCACTCTTAAAAATAAAAGGAGAAGTTTCACTGACTACAACTAATAAGTGTAGCATATTAATATTTACAAGTGACTTTCACTTACGTGATTTCATTTATTCCTTGTAATTATTTTTCAGAATAAACTAGTTTTATTCTAATTTTATTGAGGAAGAAAATGAATTTTAATGAATTGCCTGAAGTCATGAAACCAGTGATGAAGAAGCAGCATGTGTTAAGAGTAGTTTCTCACCATTTAAGATCTTGTTAAAATACAGATTCTGATTCATCAGATCCACAGTGGAGCCCAAGATTCAGCTATTCTAATAAGTTTCCAGGGCCGCTTGCCCATGGATCGCACTTTGAATATCAGCAGTGTAAAGTATGAAATGTGAAACTAGCTGACCTGGATTTGGGTCCTGACTTTGCTGATTATCATCCCTGTGACTTTGAATCAATCACTGAACTTGAATAAACTTCAGTTTCGTAATTCGTACAAATTTATGCTGATAGTAAGTGATCTCTAGCATCGCTTCCACTTGTAAAATTCTATGACTTTTTCATTAATTTCTTCATTGATATAATACCATGTTTTCTTTGTTCCTTTTACCCCAAGATTTTATTATTGTATATGGTTATAACCATTTTCTAAATGGTTAATAATGAACAGAGAAAATTGCCAATAATATAGAGAAATGTGCTCCTTTCTCAAAGTTCAATCTTCTTATATATTTAAAAAAGAGTAAATTTATTGTTTGTTGTACTATGAGTAGATGTAAAGTTTTATATGCAATTGTTTAAATAATTGCTTCCTAGTATTCATTGAAATTCACATAAGATATTACCTAATAGCTCTGTAATGGGCTTTCATTTATGTCCTTGTGTGAAGAAATACTTTGGAGAGATGATTTAAATATCTTGTAAATGTTGCCCTCTGGTGGAAGGCTACATTATTATTATAGGAGCAATTTTAGTACTTAATTATGTAATTAAAACTACTATTTTCTTTCTTCTCCTCATCCTTCTCCCCCTCATCCCTTTTTAAAATTTTTTTATAATCCCCTCATCCTTATTTATGAGACTTGAATAATTAAAATATACACTATATCTAAAATGTAAAATATCTTTGTGAGCAATATATTTGCTATTGCCTGACCAAGTACTAAATGTCTTTTAGAAATAACTTCTTTTTTTATGAAAATCCCTCAGTTAACCAAAGAGTTATTATATGAAACTTCACTCCATTAAGGAGATTTACAAATGGCATAGAAATAATGTGGAAAATGGGTTAAGGTTTCTAATCACAGTAGAATAAATTGTGATAATTATATGATTATTTCAAAATTGTAATATGTTTGATAAGTTTTCACTGAGTGTGTATGTATATACACATATACATATACTAGTATAAGGCATCATATTTAATGCTATTTATAAATATTGCTGAGGTATTTTTAAGGAAAATTTATTGCAAAAATATTTTAAGGTGTCTAATTCTGAGGTTACATTTTCCATTTATTATTTCAACAAATATTCACTCAAGAGATATTTGCATCTATTATAGGTTTGGTCCTTTGTGGTATTTTATAGTAAACCAATTAATTCAGCAGAGTTTTATAGCTTTTTATAATAAATGTAGAAAGTGCACACTCCTAAAGAGAACACTGCTTTGAAAGTTTTACAATATGGTTTTATTTAACTTTGAATTTCTAAATAGATGTGCATGCTACCAATCCTATACATCTTTCATGTTGAGGCTATACAAATAAGCTCTAGGATTCATCTGTTAATTTTTTTCTTATCAGGGATTTTTTAAGGAGACAGTTTTTAGATCAGCTTTATTTGACTTTCCTTTCCAGTGTTAGTCTCAGAGATATTTCCAAGAAATTATCATTATAAAATTCCTTCAGGGCCAGAGATAGAACAATCATTATTTGTCTTACACACATCTGTGCACATAATGCCTAGTACTCTGCGCTGCTATATTTAGTGACCTAGTATAAAATAACTTCTGATTTCTCTGTGATCTGTCTGGTTAAAAATCTGGAAGCAGAAAGTTTTAAATAAATGTACATTGTAATCTTAAAAATATATTTAACTACCAAAAATGTATGTTTATAATTACATATGCAATGTGTTGTATCTGTATGTATCTTATGCTGTATAATTTACTGTTAGAAAGATTTATACATTTAATTCTAGTTCTTTATTTCTGTATTCAAGGAAATAAAAACCCTATTCACAGCATGCCATTGAGCCTTGGGAAAATCCACCTTTTAAATGAACGGAGACTAAATACTGGTTTTTTTTTTATTGTTAGAAAAGTCTTTTGTTTTTAT